GATTTTTCAACTCGCATTTTTAGAAGTATTTCTGTGATGAACATAAAAACAATATGAAGTGCATCTTGTTAGACAAAAAACAGTTTGACAACTCTTACAAAAAAGGCAACGTCTTTGAAGAACTTAGATAGCGCAATCAAATATTAGAGTCTTGCAACAAAATTTAAATGGGAAAAAAAAGATGGCTTTTTTTGGGCAAGAACTAAACTGTTGCTCTGCTCAATATCTTATCTATGTTCTTGGTTAAATTTTGCGATTACTATTTCTACAAATAACTTTAGTGACACTACAAATAAGTGCACGATTTACTCTTGCGACAGTTTTTAGACATGACAAAATGAAAATTTCAGAGATAATAACCTTAAGCAAATAAAGCTGTTTTCTTTAAATGGAAAAGAGTGAGGACTAGGATGTTTGTCCGAAATTAACAAATCATGACTGTTTCTTGCGGTTAAATCTTAGAGGTATTCAGAAATAGTTTTTGTAAACTTAATGGTTTATTTTCTTTTTTGCAGTATTTTCGATTTTGTCTATTTTCTCGTTATTCTACGGCTTTGTTGTAAGAGTAAACTGCTTTTACTGGTAATCAATATTCTTACAGAAACTTTTGTAAGAAAATGAAACATATTTGGTGGAGCAATTATCGATAGAGAAGATAATGTTTTTCAATTAGACTGATTTAGAATGAAGACTTATTAGGTCTCAAAAGACGATGCGCTTTTATCACCGGTACTAGCAACTGTAAATACATAATGTAATTAATTTGAACGTCTACATGTAATTTACCGGTCTTTAAGCCTTTACACAAGATAAATTTTTATTTAAAGAAGATCTATGCCTGGGAAATTATTAATCTGGTGAGAGTAGCAATGAAATCCAATTGCAGTAAAAAATAGTTAGAAATTTTGGGTGATAGAGAAGTTTAGTTATGTGTATGGATAAGACTGTAAAAGTTGTTACAGAACGATTCACAGAAATAAGTCAATTTGTATAAATATTTAGGTTAAGAATTAAAAGTTGTAACAAGAGTATATAAATTTTGAAAAGAACTAAGCGACACCGAACTGTTCGTTAGAGGGCTTGAAACTATGATATATGACAGAAAACTCATGTTTTATTTATGCCGATAATTTTTGACGGCAATGCTTAATTCGTACTCAAGTAAACCGTCATAAAGGAAAATACATTACAAAATTGTAAGTAGCAAACTGAGCTGAAGTCAAGACCAATCTAAAGCTTGATTCTACTAGTGAAAAAGCTACTATAAATGGCATTGGCAAACATCTCATTTACAGATCTTTTTAGTCACAGCAAAGAATGAGGAAAAAGAAAATAACTGGGAGCAAACGTACATATTTATTGAAACTTTTTGGCTATCATCAGCTTTAGTGTCGACTGAATGTTGTTATTCAAAGGTTAAATATAGTTTTTTTCAATTACAATTGGTTATTAATTCAATTCAGAGACTGCAACTGATCTTGAAAATAATAATTTTGGAATTAAAAAATAAAAAAGAAAAAGACCTCTGTTTTATAAAAATTTTTGATTTATCAAAAAAAAAAAAAAGCGGGAAATAACTTAAATCAGTTTTTTTTTCTTCTGTGATTCAGCAAAATCAAGAAATAACTTATTTTTAAGAGCAAATCACAAAGATATTAATGGGCGCAAACACTTTGTTTTTTAAATTCAAGTAGTTGTAAACTGCACAACGACGCAATTTTAAATCGTGAAGCAGGTCAGATTTGAAGATCAAGAAACGTTTTTTTTTAAAGGTATACATGGCAGCAAAATAATTGCTTTGAAATTGTTTACTGGGAAAACAAAAAAATAGGATTTAGATTTGCCTTTTTTACATTATCGTAATTCAACTACATTCTTACAAGTTAGTTCACTCTCTCATGATTATATCTTTATGTTCACATCCTTAAAAGTCTGTTCAAAACAAACAGTTTTTTTTTTTTGTTCAAACCACTTATTTTTGTTTTTTTTAGTTATTGAAACTTTCTTTTCAAGAACAATAATTTTTAGAGGCGTTTTGCAAGCAGAAACAGACACTTTACAAACCATTGTAGAAGAGGACCTCTAAAGACTCGAATAAACACAGTCGTGATGTCAACTTTAAATAGGAAAAAATTCGTAAATGGTCAACATCCAAATTTTTGATTGATAGAAATATTTTCATTAATAGCAAATCATTTATCGTGATCTGAAGCCGGCTGAATAACTGTGCTTTTTAGGACTTGTAAGTGAAATCAAGCAATGCTGCCGCACAATTATTTTAACATTTTAACATTCTCTTTTTAAGCAAGAATAAAATAAAAATTTGCAATTACGTTTTGAAGTGAAATTAGGAAGAGTTGAGAGAAAAATCATAGCATTCTGTAAAATTTTTCCTAACAGTGCTTCAGAGGTTCTCTAGTATAAAGCAGGCTGTTTTAAGGTGAGCTTGGTCGGCAGTTAGCTTAAACAAGTTGTATATCCTTTGTTGAATAAACTGAAAGAGTCACGTTTCAATAATTCTTGTTCTTTTTTTTAGACAAACTTTTGCTGAAGTAACCCCTGGTTGATTTGTGGATGATTGTTTAGAGTTTACTATTACAATTTAAGAAATTTTGACAGAAGTAAAGCCTTATAAAAGAGATTGTTGATGAGCAGGTTTTTAAAAGAAATTCTTCTGGGTAAGCGGCTAAAATACACTGGTTTTACTCTACATCTAAGTGAGAAATAAAACATTTTTAATTGTTTTTATTATTCCTGGTAAATATTAGACACTTGCAAATATAATTATGATAACAGGCATATACTATATATATAATACGATTATAATAAACACGTGCAACATTTGCAACATTTGCAACCGGCTGAAAATTCACTACCGGAATTAGAGAAACTGTTAGAAGAATGTTGCGCGAATACGGAGAACGTTCATTGCTTGGTGAAATTCTAAAAAAAGTTGCCACTTTCAGGAGGTAACTTTATATTTTCATATATTGCTGATTCTTTCTGTTCTATTTCCTCACCAAACTTTTAAACTAAGTTAACAAGGTACCAACTATTGATCGATTACTACTCTGAAGCTGTAAAGTTCGCATACAATTATGATTGGTTTTAGCTGCGGTTTATAGAAAATCAGATCACTCTAGACAAATGCGCTGTGTTAGTTTTAGAGTGAGAACGTGACAAGAAAAAATAAATGAGTTAAAAGTTTTTGAAGGTAAGCGTTATTGGCAGAATTATTCATTACACAGTAACAAACGTTACAAGACAAAGTATGTAATGTTGTTGTTTCGGAAATGTTAGAAGCTCTCACATATGTTCTTCTCTGAGTTAGCTTAGTAGCTTCCATATTCTAAATTTTCAAAAAACATTTTGAAGACGTCTTTTCTAAATGCTAACAAAGGAGGTGTTACGTACTGTCAGAGATTGAATGGTGACGAAAACAGTGTCAAAATATCTTCTTAGTGAAAAACTGAGAGTGCAGTATGAACTTTTTTTGAGCTAAAATGAAGAACTAAAAGATTTAACATTACTTTCAATTTTTTCTGAGGAAGCTTTACAACACTGATTTTTATTTCCTGGCTCAATACTTATTTTATTTTCAATTTGTTTGTTCGCCTTTTTAGTCTCGTAGTCTTGCAAATTTGCGACCTCCTTTGAAACTTAAGTTTTTCAAACGAAATTGGTCGGTTATAACTTACTGATTGGCATCACACTAATCCTTGGGAATGAATTCTTAAAGCGAATGCGGAAAAAACAACCTTCATAGTGGAATACTTAGTTCTTCCCAAAATATTTACTGTAAGCGCGAAGAGTGATAGGTTATTTGGTCTCAGTAATTTTTTGCTTACGAACAGCGATGGCTTTTGTGAATGTGACTACTAGGCGTTTGGTGCAATCCACTTTAACGTCTGCAAATGTACGAGTGGTTGTTGAACTGATGGCGGCTGAATGATGATGCGTCGTATAAATCTCGTTGGGATACTTCGGAAAGATATTACACAATTGCGGAAACGAAACTAGGCAATTCCTAAAATTTTTAATTTTTTCTTGCAGATTAAAAAGATGAAATTTCGCACAACAAATTTTTTAAAGGCTTTTTG